CTGACACAAAATATGCAAAGACACAGCCACAGAGTAAATATATTTATACAATATATATGTTCACACCATGAAAACTACGTATATAGGGTTTTTACACTATTGGTAGAATATGAGTTATATTACAGATGAAACAGGTGCAGATGTGCAAAGTGGAACTTGACACACTTACTGTAAAAGATAATATACAAGTATATTTATATTTTAGTGTAGTAAGTGTATTGTGTAAAAGTTAAAAAAAAGAACGTGTTTACCACTTATTACCAGCGTGAGCAATACAATACAGCTGCCAGTGTACAGACCCAATACTCAACTTTACCCACCTGTTTTTTCCACTATTGTCAATACATCCATGCTCTGTTTGCTGATAATATGCCCCTGGGTCAGAGTTCAGTAGTCTTTGACATTGATTCACAGTAACTGCACACAGTGCATGGCCTGTTTAAAGCTCTATGTGCATGTCAGCTGGGAAAAAAGTCAGCGCCGTTTGTCTTTAGTTGGACTACATAACACGAGTCATTAGCTCTCCTCTAGGTCACCAGGAAGCCCATATGGCTGTGTGTGGTAGTCAGAAGCCAGTGGTGAGTGCGGTGGGACAGGGACGACTAATTATGTCTTGTTGGTAGATAGCACCGTGTCATGGGCTTTTTAGCTCTGAATACTTTATTCCGATCTTTTATTTCTATTAAAATTATTCTATAGGAATTAGATTGTTAATCTCCTGCTATAAATATAATCCGTGAATAAAGTAGCCAAGTTATGTTATGGTTAAGATAATCAGTTGCTTGCATGCTTGGTGTCCTATCTTCTTATGTTTTGCCTTGATCTCATCTGGCCCAAAGATAAATATCTGCAGTCTTATGAGCAAGTTTCATCTTATTCATGAATCTGTAAAAAGGGTCATAAAAATGTTCATTAAAATATGACTTTACAGATCTACTAGTCTGCTGTTAAAAAAAATGTAAAATATTTCTTGGTAAAAACACTTAAAAATAGCCAGTGAACTATGCACTGAAAATATAGTGGTCCTCTTCATGATCCTGCATGGGTGGGTGACAGTAAATGTCAGTGAGTTTGAAAAAATGGGGTCTTATGCTGATAAGTGAGTGAAAATCCTCTGCACAGGTTTTTGTTTTCATAGGCTACATTTACTTCAATTAACGGTTGGGTTTCTTCTCATATTTTCAGTGTGGGATGAAGTGACTAAACTACTATATGTAATTGCTGTCAGAAATCCTAATTTTCAATGCAAGTAATTCTGAGAATCAGTAAACACAAATAAAATGAATGCAATAAGTATTATTTTTATGTATGTCAGTATGTTTCTTTTAGCCCTTTCCAAAGCCCTTTCTTCTAGTTATATATATATCAGTGCAGAACAGTCCTAATTGTTTTTCATGTCAGTAAAAGCACAAATTAAAGACTGGAAACCCTGGACTACATGCACCGCACAGCAGGTCTTCTGGAACATTCTGTGCTTCAGCTCCACTGCATTATGTCTTTGTTCTGTGTGGTTAGCGTTAGTGGTTGTGCCTCACTATGTGTATGCTCACGCTGAGCAGTGTGTTAGGCCTCTACCTGCAGGACTGCCTCTGGCAGTGTGTACTCTGCTCCATCCAACACCCTGACGGCACTCTGCTGTGTGGAGAGGTCAGCTGAGGACACTCTGTGAATGAACGTGTCCATCAGGCTGAGGTCCAGCGAAAGATACGGAGAGAAGAGACAGACAGGAACATGCAACTGTATTGATCCCCCCTCTGTTACCTTTATTAACAGAGTGCCTGGCCTCTGACAAGACCTATTAATGGAGAGAGAGCAAATTCCTGCTTGTCATGTTTCATTGACTGTGCAGTCCTGTGACAGAGCCAAAGAGGAGATACCCTTCCGCTTTTTCTCATCAAGGCCTTATTAACCCAGTGGGCTTTGGGGTCTCCAGTCCAGCACCCCGTCCACCATGGGACACCGCTAGCCTGACTGCAAATGGGAACAATAGTAATAGAGATTTATTCTTGTGGATTATACATAGTTTTGTGGAGAAGTTTTCTTTCTCATCTTCTTGCATTTAACGGCACTATTATCACTTGCAGAGGTGGCACTACATTCACTTTACTTTTATTTACATAACCTTTTAAAGATATGGTACTTATGCAAATCATTTTAATAGCGTATACTTTACTCAAGTGTATTTGTAAGGAAAAAATGTGCTTTTACTCCATTGCATTCGTCTACATTCTAATGTAGTTCAATGCATCTTTTATGCGCTTCGTTCTGTCAGAGATTCTTCATGCTGGTTGGTGTCTTTGTTGTCGAGTGTTCACACCTACACCTCTGTCAGTCATAATGAAGTCATATTTCACTTGACTCTGTTTTACCAATCAAACGCAGCCAGTCACATACATACAGTGAACTAGCGGTGGTGTGAACCTGTATTGTGAAACTGAACTGTTGATCCCACTGCCCAAAAGAATGACTACAATGGCTGAAACTGCAGGTGATTTCTGTAGCACGAGATCACTCCTGCATGACCTCATATTCTGGATGTATTTGCATACAAGCTACCACAGCCATGCGCACATCAGTCCTGAAAGAGACTTTGAGCTCCCCTTAAAACAATAGTACATTTCTGGGGTCACAGATATTGAAAATAAACCATTATCTCATTTATAATAATTTTTTTCTACTATGGCTCTTCTAACACAAGGCAGAAGTGTTGCTTGTTGGATGTAAAGTAAAAGTGTGTGTATTGGAAAATAATATGAAGGCATGTCTAAGGTCTCCTATGTGAGTTTGTTTTGAATATGATCTTATTTTCAAACTTGCCAGGCATTACAGTAGCAAGTGTGGTTTGTTAAAAAAAAAATAAAGGCACATGCAATTGAACGTAATATTAAGGCATGTTCAAGTTCTCCCGTATGAGTTTGTTTTGAGTGTTTTTTTTTCTTGCCAGTCATTTCTGTCAGACGAAAACAGTAACTTTATAAAAGAAGGAAAGACAGGTGTTTATTAAATTATGCAAAAAAAATATTCTACTAGTATGACGACTACGACTACTTCCAATAATAATAACAATAATGAAGTAGTTATGAAGTTTTACGACAGTGATCCTATGCAGGGACACTTGTGTATTGCATAGCTCTTCTTTTTTGTGATCTGTTTCTGCAGTGGTGTGTGAATCTGGTTGTGAGGCAGTGTGGTGTGTAGGTAGCAGCAGTGGAGTCGGTGCCCAGGGACCCCCTGTCTGACTTAATGGGGTTTGGGAGATAAAGGAGCAGCAGCTATTTTTAGCCCTGCTTTTCACTTGCCCAGCCCTCATTGGCTGTGATGCTTCACTGCTATAAACCTAAGACTCTGCTTGCTTTTTTGTTGGTTTTACTGTTTCATGCTTGCTCTTAAAAAACAAAGAACATTTTTGTTCCTTTGATGTAAGTTTATGCTCCACATTTTGACATACAAGTAACAGCGTGGTGAGTTGTACAGAGCAACAAATGGTTTGATATTCCACCCTTCCTCAGTGGAGACGTTCTGTATTGGGTTTGAGTGTGGTCTCGGGAGGGCTCCCAATCACAGCCAGGACACGATGCTAATGTGACAGCTCAGGATGGGAACAGCCAGTGCTGCCAGGACTGCTGCTACTTTACATGCATCGAAGCCCTCAGTAGCTCTAATTTCCTTACATAAAGAGGGTCATCGCAGCAAAGGCAGGAATTAGGGCCAGTTATTGAACTCAGTAAAATCACTGCATTCAGACACCTTTATTCAAACACTGATCACTAACAATACATGATCCACAGCCCACATTCCACACCAAGCCAGCACAGCTCCTGTGTGGAGTGGTGTGAATTGTATGGATTTATTCCACGTGGGTTCTATAAATATCCTCTCCAGTGCCTGGATGGCTCTGCTTGTTGCCCCTTCAGGGATTATGTGTGGTTTGTTGCCACCGCTGAAATCAGTGGATGCACTCGTGCATGCAAACCGACTGATTCTGCCCAGGATCAAAAGTCTAAGTGGTAAATCTAAGTTGCAAATGTTTTAGAGCATTGGTTCTTATGCTGTAGTTTCTTTGTCATTTTAGTGAATTAACAATAGTGCTTTATTCGGATTGTCCCTGTAGATACTTGTCATTAAATTAGATTTAACATAATTAACTGTTAACTGTCTGTTAACTTCACTTTGTCCATACCTAAATGTAGCTTTGACTCTAATCTTAACCTCCACATAAAACATAACTCTGTGCCCCCACAGGAGTTTGTTTTGAATATTTTCATTCTTGCCAGTCATTTTTGTCAGAAGAAAACCAAGATGGTAACTTTATAATAGAAGGAAAAACATGTGTTTTCAAATTTCATATAATAAAATGTGTCTATCACTTTTTTTTTTTAAATAAGAGTTTAATGTAGTATGTAAACAGTGCTAACACCTCACAATGTACCATTTACTCCCCAGTCCATATGGCCCATTTATAAAACTTAATCTGTAAAAATACAGTCTGACTGGAATTTATTGTTTCTGTGATATCACGAAAACCATCTGCACTTACACACATCCGCCTGTTCAGCCTCTGAAAGTTTAGCCCCGCCTATTCATGCTCAAGTTATAAAGAATGTTTCAGCCTGGACTGTTTTTTAAATAAAGCACACTACAGGGCAGCCAATCAGAACAGAGGTCATTTACATAAATCAGTCTTAAACAGCCTGTTCAATTCTAAGATATAAAGAAAGATCAAAGAAAAGTCATGTGCAAATAAATTACCACTGTTTTTGCCAAATGAAACCACACAGTATAAGACGTAATATTCAAGAACTGCGATAAATGATTAACTACTATGAAACTAATGCAAGTTATGCGGTTATAAGAATGAAGAACTGAAGTGTGGGCCTACGTAGAGGCATTTAGGGTTTAGAAGGTTAATCATTTAAACCTCTGTAGATCATCTGTAGCAGGCTATCCACAAAAAGGGACTGAATCATCACTGAGCTCTCTCTTTGGTGTCTTTTGTGCAGAGGGTGAACCCATTGAAGCTATTGCCAAGTTCGATTACGTAGGCCGCTCGGCTCGTGAGTTGTCCTTCAAGAAGGGGGCATCTCTGCTGCTGTACCAGCGTGCCTCAGAAGACTGGTGGGAGGGCAGACACAACGGCATCGACGGCCTGGTGCCTCACCAGTACATCGTAGTGCAGGACATGTGAGTATAATCTACAGAAGACACCACTCTGTCCAGATGTCACACAGATAAAGTGCTTTCACCTTCAGTGCTAGCAAATAAGCTCATTACTGCTTCTACCTAGAGGACAAGTGCCTAAACTCAAGTCTGAAAGGTGTGCTTTCCCTCACCTGCTTCACACATAGATGTTTTATATGACTGGACACCAGAGTTGGGCATCACTATGTTGTATCGTCAGTGTCAGGTTTTCAACAACAGTTAGACAATTATTCCAAAACCTTTAGAGCTTTTTGCATTATGCCAGCTTTTTTAGAGCTCTCACATAAACTAGTAAGGAAACACACTCATCACAGGCTTAACTTGTGTAGTCAGACACTAGAATTTCATATTTAAAGCCCTCTAGCTTGTGAAATTCTTTTTCTCAGTGCTCAAAGGGTTGTGAAAATTTGCAGACTTCAAGCTTGTTCATTAGATCAAACCAGTATGCAAAACTCAATATTGGTCCATCACCAGTTGCCTCTTTATGTACTTGATTAATATTATCTGGGGATGTCACAGCTGTCATTACAATATATAATGATTAGGTAGATCTTCCTTAAATCACTCAGTAGAAATACTTTGCTTCTTTGCTTTTTTCTAGCCAAAAATATTTTTGTATTAAATGATAAGTATGTCATATGTCATATCTAATGACGGCTATTATTGTTTCTACAGTTACTAGCTATACTGTCACATTTTATGCTATACATTCGGCAGTGATGAGCCAGTTCGGGTCAATTTAGGACACAATTTAGTTAAACTCTGGTCAGTTTTAAACTCATGACGATGTGGTTCGGGTTGGGTTCAGACAGACTTTTGTGGGGCTCAGCACTCAAAATGCAGTGCTGTGTTTTGGGTCAGACTCGGACAGAAAATGAATGTACTGTATTCAGGTTCAGCCCAAAATTTCAGGACCGATTTAAGCTCTGCTTTTTGGCTCTATGTTTCCAATATGTTTTTGGCTCTGTCCTCTGCCTGTCATTCACATCTCCTGGGCAGATTCAAAGCTTGCCAGGTTCAAGGAGAATGATATTAGCCCATCAGTTACACTCTTCCATGGAATTACTCAGCTTTGTCTCTCGTTGGCCGTCCTCCTTAGCTTTGCTCATCTTGGCAGCAATGGGGAGGTGCTCTTTCATTACATCACTGCAGTGCAACCTCTCTGAAATCTTCCTTAAACAAATCCTGTGGCCGTGACAACTGCTGTCCAGGCAACCTTAGCCGCATAATCAACATATCAAATCTGTCGCTGAGGGGGCAAATCTAATGGATCCAGGCAAAGGGCCAAGAGACGCCAGATCCAGAGAAAACCAGCCCATCATTTTTATGTGTGGGTATCAATAATTCATGACGTGGCTCTCTGCTGATGTATGTGTTCTTAGATAATGGAGGTGAGGGTGAGAGAATTTACAGGCCAGCGTCTGGTTGGGCAGGAGACAGACGAAGTCAAGCACTCTGTCCTGTAATGAGCTACATTTAGAGGTAGAGGAAGTCTGTGGGATAGCTCCCACACAGGCAGGATATCCTCCATAAGCTCGGATCCAGGAGTGCACTGATACCAACTGTACATATATCTCACATGATATCATTACCTATTTAGTGCACCGCACAACTGATAACACAGCAGATGATCTTTAAATATTTCAACGGCTTCAACGTGAAGCTGACTGCTTTGTCTTGAAATAACCTAAAAAAAATATTCACTCCATTGGTCCCTAAATGTTCTCTTGTCCATGTGCCACTATGCATTGTAACAAGTTTTCATATCTGTAATTACTTCATAACTGGTACCTACATGTGTATTGTTACACTGGTGTTGAATTTAGTGATGACTGTGTGGTATTAAGGGTCATAGATGTTTTTCAAATGGATTTTACAGTGTTATGTTACATTTATGGTATAACAATGTTTGGTTATGAAAAGTATTTGAAAAAAAAACAATTCTTAAAAGAAAAATAATAAATATATCAATCATCAATGTATAAACGTCCTTGCGGGCCAATGATGGGCCGTCCTGAGGTGCACAGTTCGATTGTGCCTGAAAGAATGTAGCATCATTGTGGCCTACTGTAGATCTAATGCAGTTTTATTTTATTTGTTATAGTTTAGAAAATAACATATTTTTAAGATTTAAAATGTAGTAAAGTGTACTCAAACTAATCATATCACTGTGCACTGCCATTTTTCTAAAATACCATGTCATTTAAAGCAAAAACCACTGCTCTTTACTTTCTTTAAATATTTCATGATGAATAGACCAGTGGTCCAAAATGCTCCAAGAATTACCTACAACCATTCAAGTTAAGAACAATTTTGAAGTCAGTATTTTGGAGGTATAATGTTTTTGATGTAATTGTAATATTACAAAGGTTTGTCCATTAACCTTGTGTGCCATAAAGCAAGGCAGCACATCCCATTGGAAGGAGAAACAGAAGTGACCTAAACAGGGTTTTGATTGTACTTCTTGTCTCAGGGATGACACCTTTTCAGACACTCTGAGTCAAAAGGCTGACAGTGAGGCCAGCAGCGGGCATGGAGGGGAAGAGAAGTGCTCCAGCATAGATTTGGGTTCTCCTACGGATAGACTACCTGACGCTTACATCAGCAGGTGAGACAGTATTACCCATTCTTACAGTAATGCATTGTTCATACTTATTCAAATCAACTTCATTGTACCAGAGCAGCATAATATAGTCTTCTCATTGTTCTCACTGATGCAACATGCATGGTGCAAACAATATAGTGCAGAATGGAGCCATGTAGACAAATACTAAAGTGCAGGTCAGTGTTAGACATGCTGCCAGTATCCATTGGCAAGCATTGTGAATAGAATGGGATGCTCTTGAGTAGCCACACGTGAGCCTAAGATCACCATGCCCAATGCCATGCATCAGCAAGGGGGGCATACAGCCCCCTCAACATCAGTATCTGACCTCACCAATGCTCTTGTGGCTGAATGCAATCAAATCCTCATAGCAATGTTCCACCATCTAGTGTAACACCTTCACAGAAATGTAGAGGATGTTACTGCAGCAAAGGGGACAAACTCTCTGTTAATACCCTTGACTTCAGATTACCCTTGATTCTTCTTTGTGTAAGGCTTGAATGTGGATATAAAGGCATTCAGTTCAGTTCATAAGTGCATATTCAGCAGGTTATTTACACTGGTTGCGTTGTGTCATCAGTGTTTATTCTGTTAAATTATTAGGTTTACAGAACCCTCTCCAAGCATGTATGGTCTTGATTTCTCTCTCTTTCTCTCTCTTTCTCTCTCTCTCTCTCTCTCTCTCTCTCTCTCTCTCTCTTCCTCTCACTCCTCCTGTGACTTGCAGCAATTTCTCCTCACTTCTAAATCATTCATTGCATTTGTCTTTATTTAGACTTTCTCCTCCGTCTATGAGTACAGTTAAGCACATACTTCCTTCAGGGAAAGAGAGTTTCCTGTCTGAATGAATGAATCACGGAACGAAATTAAAGCAATCAAATCGTAAAGTGTAGTTTTCCGATGACAAATATCCTCACCTAAATCTGTCACAGCTGTTGCCGGTAGAGAAGAGAGTCACTGTTAGATTTAGTATAGTCAAATGCAAATCACTTCAGTCACAGCTCAGAATGCCTCAGCACTTTTCTGGGGTTAAAAGTCAAATGTATAAGTAATGTATAAGTGAACTTCACTAATTATCCATCTTGCTTTAAGGCCCTTTGATTGTACTAGTGAAGTAGCAGCTGTTTGTTAGAGGTCAAGCAAATATCCATTGTTTCCCTAAAAATGCTTTTTATGACTTGCCACATAGTCCGTGCTTATTTGTCCAGCTTTCACATTTGAATTCGAGCACTACTTTTCTGAAAGTAGTGCCTCAAAGTGTTTCAGAAGTGTTTTGCCACAGTGTAGAGCACACTCTGCTGGTCAGAATACTGCATTACACATTTGTGACCTCAAGTATTGATTAAGAACCAGCTTCTTTGTCACCACTCTTTTTATAAGTAGTTATTGCGAACACATTAAAGCTTGTTTCAGATCAGTATGAAACCAGCTTCAGGCACCGTTCCCTATGAGCTCCTGCTGTTACATTGCACTAGAATATGACGATGTAGACACAATATTATTTGAGTCCACCTATACTGCTGTTGTAGTACTTAAATGGTCTATTTTTCTTGCATTTTACCTTTTTCCCTATTGTTTACTTATTATATTTTTGTGGTTTCATGTAACAAAAGCAGTCATAATTAATTTTTTACATGATCATTTTCCAACTTCTCTTTATCACTTAGAATTAAATGGCCTGCTTTTGTTACTGTGCCTTTGAGTCTGTCCTGCATTGTGCCTCATCCAAAAGCATTCCAGGCTGGAACACTACTTAGGTCTTCAGTGTGAATGAGCTGGGCCAAACTGCTCTAGGCTCAATAGGTGGATATATGTAAACACATTGGTTTTTCATGACATCACGGAAACAGTGGAATAAAAATGGGTTCAACATATGAGTTGCGTGGAGGATGATTAAATGGTACAGTTTGAAACTTTAGTCATGTTTACAAATTAAAATCTTTTATTTTAAAAGAAATTAGAAAAATTCTGTTTTCCATGATATGGACCCTTTATCAACCTGTAATTACACTAGCAAATAATATAGCAAATTAACCTGTTAAACAGTTTTACTATGAAAATAAACATTGTCACCACAACCAAAAGCCTCCAATTTAACTGATTATTATCGGTCATGGGCTGTCAGAATGATTACGAAGGCAGAACCTTCTCATTATCTGTGAATTAAAGAGAGACGCATTGAGGGTCAGATTATGCAGTAATGATGGTAAGGCAGCTCTCACTAATTGACATAATTAACCGCTTGGAATTTTGCAAGGACGCAGATTGGTAGTTAAACTGATTTTTGCATTGTCATTTGCAACACAAGAGGAAGCATTTGAATGCAGCATTAGCCAAACTGTTCTGTTAATGACGTAAACACATTGTATTGACTGTGACTGTAATGTAATGCACTTGCAAAAACTAATTATTGCCACACTATTTAAATGTAAGTATGCAAATTAATTGCATAGTTACATAATGAAGTGCATTTATATATGATTTACATTCTGTATTGAGACTTGTGACTTAAAATATTACGTATTTTCAAATCAATAATTCCATTTAAAAAAATCATAATATCTCTTCTACTTATGAACACAAAAGTGGTGTCAAGTAAACATTCAGAGTCGACAGAATATCTATAATGACATCCTTCCCTTCCCCCCCTTCTCCCCCTCAGCCGTCACAGGAAGAGGAGTGATCCACCGACCCGCAGGCCCCCGGCGCGACCCAGCGACGCCCACTGCATGATCCATCCCTCCCAGAGCCACGGGAGCCATGGCAACCACAGCAGCCACGGTAGCCACGGTAGCCACGGTAACCCGGACCGAGGTTCCCCTGTGCTGGGCCACTACAGTCCACGGGAGCTGCTGCGGGGTCGGGCCCCCATGCCCATGGACAGTCCTGAGAGACGCAGGCGCATGGGCCATGGCAGCCTGACCAACATCAGCCGCCATGAGTCCCTGAAGAAGATGGAGAGCCCCCCCATCCGCCGGTCCACCTCCTCGGGCCAGTATACGGGCTTCTCTGAGCCACACAGCAAGGGCCTGGACCCTGAGAGCATCGCACAGGTCAGCGGGAGGCGAGCGACGACGCCACTCACACCATGCTCTGCAGGCCCTGCCCTGTAACATAGTCAGTGACTGCCTCCTGTTACTAATGATTCACTGCTCCAGTACAGACGCACAAACATATACTTCTCACATACACAGTACTGTGCAAAAGCTTTAGGGACCTGAGAAAACTGGAGAAAGCTATTTCTCTGGGCTGGAAGCATTTATTTCCTCAGACATAGCACTTGTGATAGAACAAATACAATTGACGTTTGTGAATGTGTTAGTTTAACCATAGTTTAACACTCTCTTTAAAGCAGCCTATTATTATTTGTAGTTGTCACCCAGTACCTAATTTGGCTAATTTGTGCTTCATTAAGTTGATTTAGGAGTGCTACTCATGGAAGTGGGCAAACATCCGTGGCTAACCGCAAATGACTCAGTCTTAAACTATGGCTTTCTAGTCCCAAATAGTGCATATATATAAGTCTGCTAGAAAGAATGTATACATTTATGTCCATCCAAAGCTGCACAACTCCCTAACATTTAGTGCGCTATTTAGGTGTAGCCATAGTTTCATTAACTATGTAGTGCACTTTATTGAGAAGACTAGGCATCCATTTGAAATTCAACCCATGTGGTGGCCGGCAACAAGTTGAGAATCAAACTTTGTTTTTCTAATTAGCTCACAAGATCTACATTTTTGAAAACAGGAAGCTACTTTTTAGTGTATTAATGTTTGTATTTATTTTAATAATAGTTGGTGTTCAAACAAGCAAAAACTCACCTTTTGCTAAGTTAAATGTTTTGAGCTATTTGTTTAGGTGCCTAAAACTTTTGCGCAGTTTTATACATATGTACACAAGATCCATTAAGCTAAAGGTCACATTCTGAGCATGCTCATAGATGGTCACATGAAGCCTAGGGAAGAATTACACTGCCTATGAGAAGCTCAGGAACCTCCAAATGTTTTTAACAAATGACCATGTTTACTACTCAGTAATAGCTTAACATATTAAATCAGCAGTAACCTAACATATTAAAGACTACACATTCATCAACAGAAGATCACATGTAAATACTTCTGACAGTACTACTAAATTAAAAAAGCAGCTATTTCTGTCATTTAATCTATTCTTCTCTCTAAACGATGCAGTGTCACAATGCTTTTCTAATGTGCAAAGAATGTCATATAACAAAGCCAAAAATTCATAGATTTTTATTTTGTGTCACAACCTACCAGTTTGAGCAGGCACATAAAGAAATGCACTTTATACGTTGCATTTTATTGTTACTCTTATGGGAGAAGAAAAAACTAAAAGTCCTTGTTGATCTGAATTCTGCTCTGAATGTGTGCACATGGTCACTCAGAAACTGTCATAGTGCAATTTGTTAATAAGGCAGCACTGAGCCCCTTTTATATAGTGATACAGTACAACACAGAAAGCCAGTTCCTTACTTTCATGCATTTTCCTACTGTGAGTGTGGCTACTACTCACCAGTATCTTCAGATGTATTAGTAGCAAGATGCTTTATAGGTTTGATAAGGTTATATCAGCTTTGGTGCAAAGACTTTTGCATGAATGCTTTTAATTATTAAAAAAGGTAATTGTCAAATCTACTTATCATAGCTCATACCAAAGAATACACTTTGTTGATAATGAAGCTGAGTGTTGCAAAATATACTTAAAGTATTCATTGATAGTAGTAGCTCTGTCACAATTATTACGTACTCTGATGGCAGTTATTTGAGTTGATCACAATTCTTATTTACTTGCTATAACGAATGTGAATTGGCTGCATTTCAATCAGCTTGACTGAGACAAATCCTGCAAATAAAAAACATAAAACACATTTATTGAAACGTTTTGTGGATCTTACAAAAACAGCAAAGGTTCTATCTTTTGACTTGTTCCTGTGACATACTTTAAGGGCAGCAGTAAGTAAGTTTATTTGAGCTCAAGCTGTGTCTGTCGCAGTTGGGAGATTTTAAATATCACTTGACGTTTGTACTTTTGTTGTTGCACACAATGAACAGCAAAGACAAACTCTTAATTGCAGTTTTTATATAGCAGTTAATCTTCAGCAACAATTTCACGATTGTTACAGGCTTAATCAATAGAGGCATAAAAAGTAAAAGCAAGAAAATTCACATTTCAATAGAAGGCCAGGTGTCTCAAACTTGGTAGGCAGTGTGTTCATGCTGGGATGATTGTCAATCTTGAAACATCATATTGTGTCAAGCACTGGCCTTGCCGTTCGTCCGTTTGTGTGCAGATAGTAAACTACATACTGTCTTGTCTATGTGCTGTAAATGCAGATTACAAAGGCCTATTATGTGGAGCTGATGCTGTTTGACAGGCAATATGGGGTCTGGAGAATGTCAAGTAATGCTGTATAATTAGCTCTGATTCCTGGTGGGTTCTCATTAACATACCAGTAATGAGAAGGAGAGATGGTGCTGATGATGCTGAGCTCCAGCAGCAGCAGTACAATAATGACAATAGCAGGGTTCAGGCAGAGGACACTGGCTGAATCCACTACCTTTGTGTCAGCTGGAAACTCTTTGCAATTCAGATTCTTCTCTGACATCCCTGTATATTACAGTGATCTGGGGAATAATGTGGAATCATTATAATGCAGTCTGATTTGTAGTAGGCTGCTGGCTGCCAGGAATATTGTATTTTGTTTTGCATGATATACTTTTCTGAATACAAACAGATTTAGACCAATTATAGAGTGTCCGTAAATAACATATATAACAGTTTCTTATAACTGCATAGTAACAAGTAGTTTGTTTGATGACAGCCCAATATGTCATTGTGTTATTTAATTAATCTTATTTACCAGTTATCAATTGTTTGATTGTTCTTTCGTAAATAGTTTATCATGGCATTTTTTAATGTGGCACATTTTCTGATGCGTTTTGTTCATCCCAAGTTTACAAATCTCAGAAAAACTAAATATTGTGATAGTTATTAGGGGTGCAAAATGGGAATTGGGCAGAATGAGAAATGGGCAATTTTCACTCCTGACAGACGTCAGTCAACCTTTTTTTTTTTTGTCTGTTTAGATCATTTCAGCTAAGGTGTGTTTCGATTTATGTGAGTACACGCTGTGTGATATGTAAAGAATGTCATATAGCAAAGCTAAAATTAAATTTTTACTTTGTGTCACAAACTACCACTTGAAGTAGGCATATATAAAAATGTACTTTGCGTTTCAGAACAATACAATAAGTCCTACAAAACAATAAGTCCTTACTGATCAGAATTCTGGTCTGAATGTGTGCTCATACTCACTCAGAACCTGTTACAGTGCATCAATTAATAAAGGCAGCATTGAGCCTCTTTTATATATAGAGTTCATTTGCAAAAACATCTCCATTTTAATGAATTTTCATAAATCATGTTTTTTTATTGTGCATTCCAGGTAATGGATTGTTTTGATTTTGTAAAAATAACTCAACAAAATACACGTAACCTACAAAATTAAACTTTACTGAAAAATTGTTTTTACGTGAAATTTTGTTTTATGGCAAAACCAGAAAAACAAAGCTGTGTAATGGATAAAAGTTTCTTTTACGTGCAATATTTAACATTCTTTAATATAAAACAGTTACGTAAAGTGCTAAAAATCGCAACAAAAACAGTACATTAATGGGCAATATTAAATGTCTGTAAGATCATACATCTTATGATGATACAGATTCATCTTGTAAAGTGAGGATGGCAACCTCAGAAAATCCTAAGGCTGAATCTCAAATGGCTCCCTGCTCCCTATATAGCTGCATTATTGTGAGTTATGAAATTTTGGCTTTTACACCCAAATATTGCACTTCATGTCCAGTACGGAATTGTGCACACATGGCTGAATCCAGAGTGGCTCTTTGTTAAACATATTGCACTTTGTAGTCAGAAGTGAGCCGTTTGAGATTCTGCCTGAAAAAGTTGGCGGCAGTGTTGTATCACCTGATAGAACATACATGCTGCGCGCTGAACGGATTTATCAGGTTCTGCTGGAGAACAGGGCTGGCGTTTCTGCTGTAAAACGTGAACTTGTGACGTGTTGAGATGTAAGACTGTGCTTAATATTACTTATTACAGTTTTTTTGTAATTTAAGCTTGTAGGTGTAACAACTAATACTCTTTGTATGCTGCAGTTTTCAACTTAAAACTATATATTTCCCAATACTTGTGGAGGAAACTGTTAGCCTGTTAAGTCTTCTAAGCTTGTTAACCAAGGTTATATTTAGTCATGCTGTCTTTACTATGATTTCAGACCATTATGCAATACATGCAATTTCCAACTGCAGGTATACATGTTACGCCTCTCTGATCGCTTACTCTGAAGTGCAGTTAAAATTCATCATCTGTGCACCACCAATACATATGTCTTTATCATGTTACATCTTTGCCCTATCACCCTGCCTTAGCTGCAACTAAAACTTAATTTAATAATAGACTAACATATAATGGACTTGATCCTGGTTTACGGTTTGCAGTGTTTTTTATATGCCAGTGTCAAAAACAGATTTCCAGTTTAATTTCCAAATGTAATGTAATGGACGATAAGGTATTCTGGTCTAATCCTTTTCTCTTTCTCTCTCATTAGGATATAGAGGAGACTATGAACACAGCTCTGAATGAACTTCGGGAGTTGGAGAGGCAGAGCTCAGCGAAGCACGCTCCTGACGTGGTGCTGGACACCCTGGAGCAGATGAAGAATGCTCCCACGCCGGCCAGCTCCAGCGAGTCTCTGAGTCAGCTGCCCGCTCTGATGCTGCGGCCGGCCGCCGCTGACCCGCCCATGCGCCGCTCCACCAGCTCATCCAGCGACACCATGAGCACCTTCAAGCCTGCCGCGACCCCACGCATGGGGGTCCAGCTCAAGCCCCCTGCCCTCCGGCCCAAACCTATGGTTGTGTTGCCCAAGGCTGGTCCGGCCCAGCCTCCGGCGCCCCCGCCCCATGACCCGCTGGACAAATCCTGTACCATGTGAGCCAAAATAGGACGACAAAGGGAAACTCGCAAACCTAGCAAACAGCCTGCCATGAGAGCGGTACTTTTCTTCATTTTAAACACCACTGAACATCCTTCTGGCTCTCACGTATGGTTATATAGTTCCCTATGTAGCGTCCCTTGCATATTCCACAGTAGGCCCGGACTAAATGCTGTAAAATCTGGTTCAGTATTCAAACTGCAGCTCCAGAATCAAGCCCCTCTGTTCCTGTGGAGCTTTGGAATCCAGCTCTAAAGGGGGCAGGGAGAGGGTCGTTTACGTAGTAGTGTAAGCTATTATTCATGTGCTAATAAGAAATATACAGGTAAATAAAAAACTGTAAAATAGACAGCCATGCCTGGGCATGGAAAAAACTGAGCATTAAACTTAATTCAAGATACACGTTTACCTGGTTAAAAGGTTGTAATTTTTTTCTAAGCATCTAGATGTGAACTGTCCTGCTGTTTAGTCTACAACGTAAAAAACAGAGGCATTCTTTGATCTAATTCTGATGTAAATCAGGTGCAGTATGTAGAAAGCAGTCCATGTGATATGCATCTGAAAACGTCTTGCATGTACATAGAACATGTTAGGTTCTTCTGCAATTCTCAGTATGAATAGACAAAGAAACTATGACTCAACGAAAGCAACAAATCACAAAGGCTTCCTGTGTGGTTAGGATAACTCAGTGTTGGTAGTTTATATCCACTAGAGGACTGCTAAATGTGAATAATACAAAAACAAAGCAGGGTCTGTTGTTTTCTCTGTTTACAGCCTTTGAATTGTGGGAAATGTAGTTTCTATGTAAGGATTGGACCTGAGCCTGGAGTTGATGAGTTAATAAGCAATTAATGTGGTTTACTGGTAACAAAGCAGCACTGCCACATGAACAACTAACCCTGTCTTTGACAGTGTTTCAAAAAGGCTGCTATTTTCTCATTCTGAAAGGCAGTTGGGTTTTTTTTAGGCCAAGCGAAATAGTGTGTGCAGGGCTTTACTTTGAATATTATATTTTTGATAGTAATCATAGTCATGATATGTATATGTGCAGTTATCATCCATGAGAGTTAAATAACCTTGATTTGCCTAATAAAACAGGAGTTTAGTAAACTAATTTTTCTATTGCAATGACTCAAATATAGAATTATAGAATAAGAAAGAACTGCTAAAATGCTTTGCTTTTTCAAAACTTCTTGCTTTTCATTCTCCACATGAACAGTTTTCCAGTGAAAATCAAATATATCTACAGCTGCTGATAAGAGGCATTATGAACGGTTCTGTTTAGCAGCAACTCTGGCAACTTTAATACACAGCTGTGCTCTTTCTCATAGACGGTACAGAATTTCACTAGCTTCACTGTTCAGATTGACTAAATGCTTCTCTCTCTCACTCACTCTCTCACTCTCACTCACTCACTCTCAAAATTAAGACCTCCTACTTGTAGAGCATGAATTATGATACTTTTTTGTTGTGATATGCAAATAATTTTTTAAGTCTTTAGAAAAAGACTCAAGGCAATATTTCTGTAGTTTCACCAAACAAAGGAATGATGCCAATAGCCATGGACTCACCGACTGTTACTGTAAAATTTCCATGTTACCCTCCTGCTTCTTGTGTGTCAGTGTTGGGATCTGATCTGGCTCATGTGACCAACTGCCTAATTTGTTAACAACTTGCAACTTATTATCTTTGAAGCTTTTATAAATTAACATATGTATGAAGTGTATTGGAAACAGTTTATCAAAGATTCTAAGAGGTATATTGGACATTTGTCCTGTTCCTTTGATTATATAATCTGAATATACGCAAATCAGAAAGTTGTCAAAAACCAAATGTGTAGTTAGATGAATCAGAGTGGCCATTTGTGTTTGGAAATGTGTTTCCTTTGCACAGCTTTTTTCACCATTTCTAAGAATAAAGCTTATGGTCTTTGCATACATTGTAAGAATCTGCTATTTAAAATAATGGCAAATTCTTAAAGCACAGTGATTCCAAAAACACTGTTGGCATGGGCTGAGCTAAACAATCGTCTGAGTGGCGTATGTGTGTGCATTTGAATGATAGCTATACATCATGTGCTCATACAGACGTTTAAGTTTATATTCAAATAAGAAATGTCTGTTATTGATCCAATGTTGCAAGCTAGACTTCAAGGGAAATAAAAGTAATACTTTTGTTGCATACTGTATAATAAATGACAATTATTTTGCCTTTTAAATGACTAACTGTTGAATTCTAATAACATTTTAATATAGGTTCTTTTTTGTAAGATGGTGTACAGTGCATTGCAGACAGAAAAGGCTTTATTAGATTAGTGTTAGATTTGTTTCAGGGTTTCTTATGGACCTTGAAAACTGATTTATCCCTACACAACTGTGCACAGTAGCAGAACCTTCACTTGATTGCTGTTCTGTCAGTGTGTCCATGTACATCTGTAGTAAGTGAAAGTGCCTTTAAAAGCTGTTTTAGAGGAACTTCAAACCAACGTCCTCTGTGCTGTTGCGTTCATTTTTCAGACCCAGTGCAGTGCATAGGAAAAGACAGTGAATGCATTATAATCATCAGTAAGAATGGTCAAATAAAAATACTGCTTATTCATTGTGACATTGCACTTTTATGTATAGGACTGTATATTTGGCATGTAACATCCTAACAAGTGGTAGAGCTCTGTAGGGGAGCTGCTCCCTGGATTGTGTCTTTCTAATAAAGAACATAGTTTGGTCAGTCTGTTGTTGTCTTGTGGCATTATTTATTTATTTATTTATTTTATTTTTTTTTTTGCAAAATCTTGTTACATTAATTTTCATTTCAGTTTAATAATGTTTTATATTCTCCTGTAAAGTTATCTTTTGGAGATTATTCCTGCAGTGATGAACTGCAAACATGTTTCCAAAGTCAGTATTGGCAGAACTGGACCGTGATGAAATGCAACCGCACATGAAAGGTTTGCTATTAGTTTTTCATCACAGCAGAATCATACTTTGATATTGCAACGTGGAGTAAACTGTAAACTGTAACAGACCAGTTTCACCAATCAGAAATAAGAGATCACTGTCATCACTATTTATTTCTGCCTCCTGCTCTCCCAAGCAGGAGACACTGGATGACTATGCATAAAACACTTACATTTATAAACATTTCTGCTCATATGTTTACAGTAAGATATTATTTTTAATTATACTTAGCACAGATGTGCATTTATTATATAAATCATAAATTACACAATGGAGTTTCTCTAGTTTAATTCGATGTATGAAATTTTAGCTAGTTTCTAGTAGCTAAATACATTAATAAATGTTTCTTTTTCTTAAATTAACCAGGTTTAGATGTTATGTTTTTATATATAAATAATACAATTGATGCTATATGTTAACATCATGTGACAGTGGAACTGCAATCTGCAACACGTGCAACAGGAATAAATTACTACTGGATATGAGTATCTTAGGTCAGTTTGAAAGATACAGGGCAAACTCAATTTTAGAGGCTAAGACAAAAGTTTTCCCAGGTCTGCAGCTGAATCTGAGTTTGAATTATGTCTCAAAATTTTCACATTCACATGGTAAGTGCAGTGAAATACATGATTGGTTTAGTATTTTCCAACTACTTTTGGTGTTTTCTTTTTCCCCTGCTGTTTTGTGGGGAAACGACACACTTAAAATGATGACTCTTCAAGGGTTCTTTAGTGAAGAAAAGTGGTTCTATATAGAACCATGAACACTCAAAGAACACTTTGCATAATTAAAGGGTTCAATGCATCATGAAATTCTTCACATTGATGGAGAATGTGCTGTAGATGGTTTTATATAGAATTTTTATGAAAAGGGTTCTATACAGCACCAAAAAGGGTTTTTCTATTGTAATGTCAAGCTTGTAACCACAGAAGAACCCTTTTTTGTGCTATGCAGAATCCTTTTCAAAAACTGAACCATCTACAGCACATTCTCCACCAATCTGATTAACCCCTTCACGATGCAAAGGGTTCTTTGAGTGTTCACAGTTCCATATATAACCATTTTCTTTACTAAAGAACACTTAAAGAACCATCATTTTTAAGAGTGTACTTGAAAAATGCCCTGCCAATAATATTACAACTACCAACATTAACAGAAAAATACTTGTATTAAATGATGCCCTCTATAATCATATATTTTAACACCTTTTCTTGTGCAATTTAGGTTAAATGCACAGATCTCTATAAACCAAGACCAAAAAAATTGATCACCTGACCCTAAAAAGTTTCTGGGGGAATAAATCCCAGGAATGCGGTTATCAAGGAATTCCAGAATGAACTAAACTATGACTATTCAGAAAATATGTCGAACTTATCCTCCTTGTTTGATAAGGACAGAAAGCAAGGAGAAGGGGTGACTTATCCTGGGGGGCTTCTTCTTCCAAGCTACCCTGCACGGCAAAAAAAAAAGAACGTAGACCAGTGAAGACACGACAGGGAGGAGCTGGAGCGAGATGAGATGGTTGTGCAGGGAGGACCGTTCAGTGGGAGGAAAAGCTCGGCCCTCAGTTTCGTTTCTGTGGAGTATGCAGCGTTGAGGAAGCTGGTGAGGTGACGCTGGTGGTCCTCCACTGAAAGGTTTACAGCCTCCACCATGTCGGACGCGCTGTCAGCGTACATTGTCAGGACCCTCTGTCAGCATGGAGGCAGTCTGGATTTTAAATGTCTGGGTCAGATTTTGCGTCAGCGTTTCACCGTTGTGGATGAAGTTCTGCTGAAAGTGCTCACAGACTTCGACAAGTTCGTCGTTGTGGAAGGTAAAGAGAAGAAGGGAGACTTTCTCCTGAGTCCCGACAGTGTGGTCATAGCAAAGACGTCTTTAAGAGTCTGCCGGACTCTGCCTGGTCAGTGTGGTTACTGTCAGGATCTGCACCTCTGCAGGTATTTTGTGTGTGGAAACTGCAGATTTGGGTGAGTATCTCAGGAGAAATCTGGTTTAGCCAGCCAGACAATCAAAATCTAAACCTTTAAACGTTTTATGTCCTTTCTCTTAGGGCGAAATGCAAAAACTCCCATGCCGTAGATTCTCCTCACAACTCGGTTATCCTGAGTGAAGAAGGCCTGCAGCACCTGGAGAAGTCAGAACTTTTTCAGCTGTTGCTGCAGAATGACCCTTACTTACTGCCCGAGGTGGGTGACTCGGTCAGCTGTGTCCAAAAGTTTGTGGACGCCTCTGTAGCCTCCGCTAATTAGGGGTGTACTCGGTTATCCCAATACTGAAATCACTGTTCGGGTATCCGTTACGCTTCACCGCAGGACAGCTCTGTGTACGTGCCCTTAACGCAGATCTGGTTAGAAGTGACTCAGCAGCCAAAATACAAGAGAAAGAAACGTTCTTATTTTGGAAAGGAAGGAAATATGCTTTTTAAACGTCCTGTACAGCATCCCACCGGGATTGAGTAGGTAGTGCTGCAGCTTCGGAGACGCCGCGTTCTCGGAAGCACTGAAAATGCGCATGCGTGTACACGTAGGCCTGCGTTATCTCTTAACCTGGAAAAAGTATTAAATGTGTGTCTTTTACACGTGTGAATAAAAAAGCCTACCAACAATAAGGGTTTTGGTCTAGAAAGACACTTTAGGCAGTTTATCATTCATTATCAGTTTTCTACGAACTGAAATGTTTAGCATCCTGTTAGCTACTTTGCTAACCAGTTGCAGTTGTTTCTGATTTAACTTACACACTGTGAGGTTAATGTTTGGCACTATACCCGTCCTCCACCCTTAAAAAGATGGTGCTTCAAGGATTCCTTTGTTAGGAAAATGGTTCTATATTGAACCATGAACACTCAAAGAACCTTTTTGCATGCTTTAAGGATTCTTTGCATCATGACAGGGTTCTTCAGATTGATGGATGCATGAATGTGCTGTAGGTGGTTCTGCCTTTTTGAAAATGGTTATAGCACCTAAAAGGGTTCTTCTGTTGTCACAAGCTTAACACTGTAACAGTAGGAGTACCCTTTTGGGTGCTATATAGAACCATTTTCACTGTCTTTCACTGACTGAGAGCAACTCTTGCGGATGTCATGAAGATGCGCATGAGGGACGCTATCTTTGACTGAATCTCACGAATGACACTGTGTTCAGTTTTGTTTCTAAGCCTACACAAGTCTGCATTATAGTAGTTTTTATTTTTAGTGATGAATCAGCAATTGTATGTGTAGACTGTCTAATTTACATATAATTTGCATAAAACTGTTTTCTCTCTCTCTCTCTCTCTCTCTCTCTCTCTCTCTCTCTCTCTCTCTCTACACTCTTGGAGTTTTAGCCTACTGATTTTTCTCTTTTTAGGCTTTTTATCCAATATTTTAATTATGTTTCCTTTTTCATGTTCCTGTAATCCTAAAAATGATCTTTCTTATTAAATTGCATTATCTGTTTGACTTTTGAAATTCAATGTGTGCTCTTCTCTTTTTAATTTTTGGGGTACATCGCATCACAGAAATTAAGAATGTGTTTTTCATACATTCCTAAACTTTTATTTTAGTTGTGCTGTGTTACATTAACCAACAGTAGAGACTGAGGGCAAATGTCCCATAATTAACTTTGATTGCAGAAGAAACACTGAACAGCTGTCTACAAACTTTTGACCCTGTAGGGTATTTCTCAACGAATCAAATGTCCATCCTGATTTGAGTTTATTATGATTTTAGGTGTGCTCCCATTATAATAAAGGGAACGGAGAACATGGCAGTTGTAAGTACGAGACGTCCTGCACCAACCTGCACCTCTGCCAGCACTTCCTGCAGGACGACTGTAAATTTGGAGCTGATTGCAAGCGGGCTCATTCATTTGATGCTACCACTGTGAAAATCCTGAATGGCAGAGGACTCAGCCCAGAAAACATCAGCAATTTCTGCAAGATTTACAAAAACAAGTTTCTGATTTCTTCATACAAAGAAAAACCAGCTGTTCTGCCTGATACAGAAAAAACAGCTGCTCCCAGTGCAGGTTAGACCAACTGGAGGGAAGACTGGTGGCTTTGGTCTTTAGCTTGGTGCATATTTCCTCACTTTGTCATCTCTGTTAGTAATGATTACATTTCCTTGCCTTTTTAGTGTCTCCAGCTGCAAGTGAGAGTTCAAAGCAGCCCTCCAGCAGGCCAGTGAGTGAAATTGACTCCAAAGAGATCTGCCTTTTCTTCATCCGAAGAGGATGCAGCTTTAAAGGTAGATTATAACATGGCTCATGTGATCTAATAAGGGCATCAGGTCTTGTAGGAACATTTGGAATGGATTTAGTCATTCGGTTTCACACTACCTCTATTTTAACATTATCAACATTATATATGAAAATTCAGAAGGCACATGTAGGTTCGCTGCTGGTTTAAGATGGTAAATAAAATGTCTGTAGTGAAGACCCCTGGTTCGTATCACCACCGCTGTGAAAAAAAAAAAAAAATCAGGAAATTTGGTGGAATTGCCCCTTATTGTTGGTTCAGGTGATCAAGTAAAAATATCGTATTGTGTTAAAGGGAAAGTCCAGAAATTTTCCAACATTTCTGCATTTTGTGCAGACATAAAGAATGTTTTCATGTAAAATGATTCATTGTAGAGAATGTACCTCAGGTTTGGAGTTCTTTACAGTAGTAGTGATATGAATCAAAGGGCAAATATTGCAATTTTATTTATTATCTAAAATGTTGAGTGAACCTACATGTTTTTCTCAGGATTGTTGTAAAACAATGTCTCAGACATTAGGTATCTCTATTTGGGCATCGATTATGGGTGTGTATTTTATGTCAAATCACCCTAAAGAACTTTGCTTAGATTTTAATGCAAAATTTGGCAGAAAATATGAAAGATTCTTTAACTTAATTTTGCCTTTTAGATAAGTGTGTTCGCATTCATTACCATCTGCCTTATAAATGGCAGGTTTTAGATAAGGATGGAAAGACATGGACAGACTTGCAGAATGGAGAGGAAATTGAGAAGGCCTTCTGTAATCCAGCCAATGATGTGAGGTACCCATTTTTCTTTCATATGGAGGCACTTTGATTAATCTGTCATTATTTGTTAACACATTTTAAGACAGGTAAACAGTCAGGTCCTTAAGAAGTTAAATATTAACTTTATTTCATTGAAAGCTGAACTGACTGTAAAATGAAAAGGTGAATTAAAACTCTCAGTCCAGGGCCTCAGGTAGTGAACTTCATCACGATGACCTGTGGAGGAGCATCAGTTCGCCGTCTGTCTACAGCATCTTCTGTTACCAAGCCTCCTCACTTCATTCTGACCACTGAGTGGATCTGGTATTGGAAGAATGACCAAGGAGCATGGACTGAATATGGGCAAGGGGTCAGTGGCTTTTGTTTCCGTCTCAGCTAGTACTGAGTTGGCTAGTTGTTAACATGCTTTTCTACTTTTTCTGAACATAATCATGTTGTTTGTAGATGGATACAAAGCATGCAACCCCTCTCACCTCTCAGACGCTGGAGAATGTTTACCATGCTGACCCTCACTGTGAAATTCCTGTCAGTTCTGAGAACCATACATACATACTCTACTTAAAAGGTACTCTGCATAAAGGATGTACAGCTTTGGTATTTTGGCATTGTATTAAATAAATTATGGCCTATATTGTTTCCATTTTGTGATTCTGTGTTTTATCTACAGATATGTACCAGCAAAATGTTCTCTACAAGACCAAAAGAGAGATTCGGAGGAGGCCTCGATTCGTCTCTACTCTCGAGGTTGAGAGCAAGCTGAAATGGTATCAAACTAAAACTTTCAACTGAACTGACAGATCACTGTGGTGTAGCATGTTCACAAATGTTCAGTATTAGTTCATACTAACGGCTGGGTCAGGTGCAGTTTTTGTTGTCATCCTTCATGCAGCATTGGTAGGTCCTGCCTTCTTATGCCACCAATATTATTTGATTCTGTAGAAGAATAATGCTGATTCATATGTGAAATAAAGACAATAATGTCAGGAGATTGAGGCTAATACAATCATAACACTTTCTTTTGTGTCTTTTTTTGCTATCAGCGAAACCTCCAGCTCCTCCTCTGTGGTAGTTCCTGCACACTGGGATAGAGGAGCCCTGCCTGACTTCTCCTACAAGGTACATGACTTACTTGTACACTGTGTGGATGTTGAAGTGAGACACTTCCCAAATTTCAGTAAATGTACAAATGCTCCAATATTCAAATTATGCAGGCCATTCCTAATATCCATTTCCAGTTTTACTCTAATGTGCTAGTCATGATACAAAAATACTACTCGATGCAATGCAATACACTGTGTTGTTACATCTCTAATGAGTCTAGGGTTGCCACCAGTCCAGGATTTCCCTGGATTGTCCAGGTTTTTGGTTGCTTGTCCAGGAAAAAAAGTTTCATTCCTGGAAGCAAAATGTCCAGGAATCCATGCATTTTCATATGTTTGTACTTCCTGTGAAGTTTAAATGGCTTCTTTTCATCCAATCGAACCGTTTGTATACAAAGAACGGGTTTGAGTAGTTCATATTACTCTCAGCATAGGGATAATTGCTTGAGAATGGCGCACTGCTGGGGACATGTTTAAATACAAGACAACACTGCAACAACAAAAACTGGTTAGATTAGATTGTGTAGCTGAACTGACATCAATCTGCCTTAGACTACATTGTGAGCATAGCTACCTGTCTGTAGATTTTAGTAAAAATCCACTGATCAATCCACTGATCAAGTGTCCAAGAAATGTATAGATCTGATATTGTGGTGGTATAAAGCTCCGACCTTAGCTAGGCAGAAATGGCCCAACAGCTTCTACTCTCTTAAAAATAAAAGAGAGAGTTCTTTGAAGCATTGTCCTACAAGAACCACTTTTGGTTCACAAGAACCATTCAGTAGAATTCTTAAGTTTAAAGACCATCTATATATTGTAGACATTATATAATTATGGAAGAACCAAAGAATCAAATAGGAACCTTTATTTTTATGAGTGTATTACTGGCCTATTTATTCTGTTTAATAGACTGTTGACTGACTGAGGGATTTTGAAGTTTTATTTTCCCTGTTGTGTAAGGGGTGTGTCCGTTGTTGTGCTATGGTAATATCCATACATTGCATATGTAATAGTATGACGAAACATAATTTGACCTTTGGTTGTCAGTTGGTTCCCTTGTCTAGGGCTGATGCTGAATTTGTCATGTTAGAGAAGATGTTTAAACAGACCATGCCCAAACACACTGTCATCAGCATTCAGAGGAACCAGAACAGCTCTCTGTGGAAGGTATTTCAGTGGTAAGGTCAAGGTCTGCTTGTTCACAGTCATGAATCATATCATGCAATGTTTAATAAGTGAGGTCATTGACGTTATGAAACACTTACAGTGTGTTATCATTATTATAGAGCACTGTTAGCAGTTGTGTCAACTGAATGTAGAGCACATGTAGAATGTACAGTATTTCTTGTATGTTTTGGTTAGTATTTTTAACATACTTGGAAAGACTAAGGTAAATAACACAATACCATTTTCATTCTTAACAAGACCTGCAGACACTTGACTGAACTTTGTATTAAACTACACATTAATCTAGATGTTTCCATTTCACAATACACATTTATCTTTGCACTGAAAAACTTTCTGGGCTTTTAAATGCCATCAAATGCAGCATGTAACATGTTTCAGCACTCTGCTCTGTGAGTTTGCATGGTCACTTCTTTATCGCTTCATGGCTGAGCTGTTGTTGCTTCTAGATATTTCCATTTCACACTACACATTAATCTTTGCACTGAAAAACTTTATGGGGTTTTAAATGCTGTCAAATGCAGCATGTATACTGTTGTGGGTGCTGTCTTCCATACTACTGTATTAACCCAACTTCATATTTTGAATGTTCTTTACACTAGGCAGAAAGAGCAGATGAAGCAGAAGAATGGAGGGAGAGACGCAGATGAGCAACTCTTGTTCCACGGCACAGATCAGTCTGTAATAGAGGCCATCTGTGAGCAGAACTTTGACTGGAGGGTGTGTGGAGTTAATGGCACATTGTATGGCAAAGGTGAGAGTAGAAGATTCAAAGATTGTCTATTCCATGCTTAGTAATATTATCCTTATGATGTAAGCTTATTGCACTGTAGATGTACATGGGTTTGTGGTCTGTACTTTCTGTACATGTACTTATTATTGAAGTATACACAGTGTGTAGTATACACTGTATGGCCATAAATATGTGAACACCTGACCATCACACCTCTATGAGCTTGTTGGTCAGCCCATTTCAAAACTATGGGCATTAATATGCAGTTGCCCCCACTTAGTGGCTATAACAGCCTTCACTCTTTTGTAAATGCTTTCCACACGATTATGGAGTGTGTCTGTGGAAATTTGTGCCCATTCAGTGAAAAGAACATTGGTGAGGTCAGGCATTAATGTTGGATTAGAAGACCTGGCTTGCAATCAACAATCCAGTTCGTCCCCAAAGGTGTTCAGTGTGGTTGAGGTCAGGGCTCTGTGCAGGCCACTAGAGTTCCTCCACGCCACACTTGTAAAATCATGACTTTATGGAACTCGTGTTGTGCACAGGAGTACGCTCATGCTGGAACAAGAAAGGGTCTTCCCCAAACTGTTGGCACAAAGTTGGAGGCATAGAATTTTCTAAAATATCTTTGTATGCTGTGACATTAACATTAACCTTCACTGGAACTAAAGGGCCTAGGCCAAATTCTTGGCATTGCACATGGTGATCTTAGGCTTGTGTGCAGCTGCTCAGCCATGGAAGCCCATTTCAGGAAGCTCCTGATGCACACTTATTGTGCTGCTGTTGCTTCTAGAGGCAGTTTGGAACTGTAATGAGTCAGGATAGGTGATTTTTACCTGTAACATGTTTCAGCACTGGTCACTGCATGGTCGCTTCATTATCGCTTCATGGCTGAGCTGTTGTTGCTTCTAGACGTTTCCATTTCACAATAATAGCACTTCCAGTTGACCGCGACAGACCTAGCAGGGCATAAATTTCAGGAACTGACTTGTGGCAACAGTGGGGTTTTTTATAACAGTTCCACGTGTAAAGTCACTGAGTTTTCAAATATGACCCATTTCACACACCTGATTGTAATGGGTATAGCTGAAACACCTGAACATAATAATTAGGAGTGTCCACATACTTTCGGCCATGTAGTGTATGTGTAAGACACAAAATTGAGAGTTTTCATTAATTTCATTGTAACTTTAATTGGATTTAGACCATTTTGCAGTGGTCACTTAAAGGCAGCTGTCTGTTTATATCTATTTCAACATGAGATGTTTTTGTTTCTTACTCAGGGAGTTATTTTGCCAGAGATGCCTCCTACTCTGATAATTATGCTAAGTCTGTGGAAAATTCCAAAAAGATGATGTTTGTGGCACGAGTTCTGGTGGGTCACTACACCCGTGGCCAGAGTGAATTTGTCCGTCCACCTGCTAAAACGCCAGGCAAAGGCTTCTATGACAGCTGTGTTGACAATATAAGTAGTCCAAGCATTTTTGTTATCTTTGAAAAGTACCAAATCTATCCTGAATTCATCATTGAGTATGGCCCTGAGGAGTCCAGATGTTTGATTTCTTGAGTGCCTGCAGCATCAGAGGTTACGAGGTTTTATAATAGTGCTATTACAGCAGGTGTTGGTAAACTACTAAGTGAAAAATCATGGGAAACATTGATATTTTATAAATCCTCTTTAAGGAAACAAAACTTTGTAACTCCATTGTTTTTCTTCATTTTTAAACCACTTAAACACCTGTTGTCATTTACATTTTATCAGCATTTTTGGATAAATGGTCTAATGGGTCCTGAAATAAAATCTCAGCCTAGTAATGTACATTAAAGAGAATTTTTTTTCAAAATTTCTGTATAATTAAATTGTTGATGTAAACAAAGTCATTCAGAGTGGTTTGATGTGAAATAGTCATTGTAGATAAACTTTTTTATTTATTTAAAATAAATAAAATTTTAGATTTATTCACAGTACTGATTGGATAGGAACCAGGGGTCACAATGTCTACAATGGCAGTATTTGTAACCATTTTATGTCATAACTTTCCGTGAGGTAGCTTTTGATTCGTTACACTCTGGAAGGGCTATGAAACAGTTTGGACTTGATAACTTTCTTTAGAATAGAGCACACTTGGAATTTCCTGGTTTACTTCTTAACTTCTCAAAATTGGTGAAGTTGCCCTTTGAGACCATTTTTCCTCCTCCTATAAAGTTACTGTTTTAGACATACAAAGTTTTGTTACTACAGCAGTGATATGCATGAGCTTAGTGTATACGCTTACTGACATAAACTAGATACAATGTTTTGTACTTCATTAAAGAATATAAAATATATAACAATAATTAGAGCCTTAAAAGTGCCTTAAATCATCTTCAGCTGTTTAGCACAAAAAATGCTGATTCCTCATATCAGTGCATGAAGTGGCATATGTATACTGTGTAACCAGTTACTGAACTGTCAGATTGCCTGTGTGAACCTGATTACTTATGTAAACTACATGTGAATAATTTGCTGGTTTCCTGTATATCAGGATGTATCTGTATTAACAATGAATTTCTGAATGAATATGAAGTAACTGATGAAGGAGATATTTAATTTTTTTTGTCATAAGTGAATGATTAAACACTGAAAATTCAGATTTCCTCAGTAACTCTTTCATTTTGATGCTATGTATCAAATTCATTTTCATCATTTGTAATATATTTGCATGAAATGTCACAAGTAAAGGTGAAGTTAAAGCCCCAGGGAGCTAAAACTGTGTTTTGTTTATATGTTTTTAAGTAGGTTAATCTTGCTTTTGTGAACACACAGTATTTGTATGCCAGACTAATAAGGTTCCAGTGTCCAATAAATGACCAATATATTTTGCCAAATTTTTCCCCTCTGAGATAATTTTCTGATAGGTTTGATAACTGATTATTAAGCATTGTTTTATCATATTTCCATATTGTTTTTCATTCAAACTTGGCTGGATATTTAATATACCACTCAATTTTAGTATCATGCAAACATTTTTAATATGAGATGTAACAGTGCAGCCCATTCAGTTTCCAGAACAGCCAGGGCTTGAAAAGATATTGTGTGTCCAGACAAAAGGTGGCACCATTCCAGTTAATCAGCATATAACCAGTCCATATAAAATCAGTACTCACTTTCCTGAAGTCTAGGAAATCCTATGCGCTCTGTGATCATTAGCTATGCTAATACGCCCAGAAGCCTTTCTGCTCCCTTGCTGCGTACCTGAAACATATTAACTCTAATCCTAACAAAGACAAGGAAGGGGAAATTCTTGTATTTAAGTGAAGAACCGGCCAGTGCTGGGTAGAGCTTTGAATCCCTTATATATAGTGGGAAGAGTGAAGTGTGAAAAAGATTATATGAAAAAATGTTTCGTAACTGAAAGTATATAGATCAAAGTTGGTACATATATAGAATTTTTATTAAGTATTTTATTTTTATTGGCAGATTCAAGATCTGCAGCATTTTTTTGAAGGCATTTGAATCAGGCGTTTAACCTGAACAGGACAGCACTAGTTTTTAACGATTTTGCATTTGATCCAATGTACTGGATTATCCTACATCAATTACCTGTTCCTCTGTGTTTCAGTCTCGGAGCTTTTAGTCTCAAGAGTACTGATTTTTTTTTTACAAAAGTCACTCCTGGGTTTTTTCCTGGGGAGCAAAGCGTGATTTCTGAACTTCAAGGTTTGAGTATAAATATCTAAACACAAACTCAAAATATTATACTGTTATACAAATTTGTAATTAGTTTTTTATATTTTAAATATTTTCGTGTATTAGGTTTGGCTGTTTCGCTAAAAGGGAGATCAGTGACTCACAATAGTGCAGCACAATATTAAAGTCACCTATAATCTATCATTCTGTTTCATAAAACAGTGCAGTTTTTGTATTTGGCTTATGTGTTAATGTGGTAAGTTAAATTCTTATTAAAAAGTCTAATTGAAGTTATTTTTCTCTTTTCTTTATTTAACTAAACATCTTTAATTAAATACAAGTAATCCAAAAGTAATAGAAGGTAATCAGATTAAATTACTTTTATGTAGTAATCATTTGGATTAGGTTACAGTTACATTTTAAGAGGTAATCAGTAATCTGTAACAGATTACATTTTAAAGTAACCCTCTCAACCCTGATTTAAACTCTAATTGAACACCTGTGATACAGATGGATTTTGTATACTATCCATCACTTACTTTCAATTCTGCTTAAGTATTTTCCTGACTGTGAGCTGATCATGCCCAACCCTGCATGACTAACTTAGCTAGTCACTATCAGTCATACTAAAACTATTTGTCTAGCAGGTGGTTGTGGCTAATGGGTGGTACTCATCTTTGCAGATTAATTTTACATTTATACATTTATATTGAATTGTATGTTTTAATTTTAGTTGACTTGTTGTTAGCTTGACTGATTGGCAAGAAAAAAAAAGAAAATCAAGGAGGTCTAAATGAAGTAAAACATACTTTTCTCCTGATAATGTTAAGTATAAGGGAAAGTATTCAATTTTAATAAAACATGAATACAGTGCAGACTTTCCAAAATAATATTTAGGTACAGTAACAAAGTACAATCACTGAAGCATTTTCCATCCCTGGAATATCTAGTGTATGTGACATAAACCATTCATATAAGTGCGTAGACTATGCATGTGAGTGATGGGTTCTCACAGCCCTGACTACTGGCAGGTCCTATTTGGGAGGACTAGCAGAGCTGATTAGGGAAACTCCACACATAAACAAAAGAGGCATAAAGACAAATTATGTGCTACTATAAAATACAGTCATATTTGATAATTTGTAAATTATTTGAAAAGAAAATAATTACTTAATAAAGTATTCTTTTCCAGAACTTAACTGAATTATTGAAAGTATTTCCAGACGATTCCGCACGCTCAGTGTGCAAACAGATGGAGCCAGGAGCCAATAAAATCTTGTGCCAGTCTCTCCAGCTGCTAATGGAAACAGACTAAACTAAATTTCAATACATTAATTTAACTCAAAGATCATATTTGAATACATAAAATCATCAGTAAAGTTCCAGTAAATCAAAATAGTTCAGTAATGTGGTAGATGTCCTGTTTTAGGTACAACAGACTTTATACCTTTGGTTATGTGTCTCATTGAAAAAACTGACTTTGAAAAACACAGTTCATTCCCTTTGATTAGACTCAATTAACTTTGAGTGATTTAACACTTCAGATACTTACATTCTTTCAACAATAATACCAAAGTACATTTAAAAATGAGTCATTTCAATTAATAGCAACTTATTTTCCCTTCTCTGGATACAGGCCAATTTTACATTTGAGTTTTACAGTTTTTTTCATAAAAAGAAAAATATTACCAACTAGCTATGTGTGCAAATCTGTTTGCGCAAACTAGCCAAAGTAGGCCTATAACCATGAAGGTAAATATATAAATAGATTAAATACATAAAAATAATATGATTGGATTGCTTCATCATGTTGCCAGGTCTTTTCATTTATGTACAAAAGACTAAATATCTTTTAAAGTCAACTTTAGTTTTTCCTTTTTACAGCAGACATTAGTGATTAATTATTATTAGTCATTATACTGCTTTACAGAAATCTAGGCCCAGCTCTCTAATATGTGCAGACTTACGACTTACGTGACAAGAAACCACTCCCTAAAATGGCATGAGGGAGACACCAAAACTGAAAGCAGGAATCTGTTTTCTGCCTCTGAGTGTCACTGGAGAATGGAATTATAATATAGATGAACTGGGCAAATTTACAAATGCAAGACTGAAGCAGCCAAATCAATAGAGTACTGTAACCATATAACCAAATTAAGCCAGTGTGCAAGGTAAATTCTGTCAGAAAGATCTAGAAAGAATACTGAAATTGTGCTGCTCATTCTCAAAAAGCGCCACCATGCGTCCGGATTAAATTAACACTCAAAGTTCCAGTTTCTTGAAAATGAGATTAAGGGTGTATTCACAGAAGAACTATTTTTTTCCGGACCCGAGGCCATTTCTCTTATAGTTCGGTATTTAGTGAAGTGTGAAAGCTCAAAAACTGAATGAAAGAATGAAATCACCTTTTTTCTTCAGCAAAAGAATAATATCCCATTTAACTGCAATGCTGTCTCATGACAGGATATATGGCTAAACATTCTCAGAAAGTCACAAGATTTTCATTTTTTAGGTGTTCTTACAGAAGGATGCACTCAACAATAACAGCTTTATCACTGGTTGGAACTAAAGGAACATCCTAAATTTAACATTCAATTTTAAACATAAGAGGACGCATTGTTTACCAGGTTGGAAATGAAAGGGAAAATAATTTCTTTTGTTTGAAGACCCAAACCAGCCCATCCTGGGTGTGGACTGAAGTATTCGAGCCAAGTGTGTAAACGCCTTAAATTGAGCAAGAGTGAGGAAGTTCATTACAAGAGATACAGACAACAGTACAACTCTGTCAGAATATTAGCGTATCATGGCGACATCATGCCAATTTTACATTTGAGTTTTACAGTTTTTTTCATAAAAAGAAAAATATTACCCACTAGCTATGTGTGCAAATCTGTTTGCGCAAACTAGCCAAAGTAGGCCTATAACCATGAAGGTAAATATATAAATAGATTAAATACATAAAAATAATATGATTGGACTGCTTCATCATGTTGCCAGGTCTTTTCATTTATGTACAAAAGACTAAATATCTTTTAAAGTCAACTTTAGTTTTTCCTTTTTACAGCAGACATTAGTGACTAATTATTATTAGTCATTATACTGCTTTACAGAAATCTAGGCCCAGATCTCTAATATGTGCAGACTTACGACTTACGTGACAAGAAACCACTCCCTAAAATGGCATGAGGGAGACACCAAAACTGAAAGCAGGAATCTGTTTTCTGCCTCTGAGTGTCACTGGAGAATGGAATTATAATATAGATGAAGTGGGCAAATTTACAAATGCAAGACTGAAGCAGCCAAATCAATAGAGTACTGTAACCATATAACCAAATTAAGCCAGTGTGCAAGGTAAATTCTGTCAGAAAGATCTAGAAAGAATACTGAAATTGTGCTGCTCATTCTCAAAAAGCGCCACCATGCGTCCGGATTAAATTAATACTCAAAGTTCCAGTTTCTTGAAAATGAGATTAAGGGTGTATTCACACAAGAACTGTTTTTTTCCGGACCCGAGGCCATTTCTCTTATAGTTCGGTATTTAGTGAAGTGTGAAAGCTCAAAAACCTGAATGAAAGAATGAAATCACCTTTTTTCTTCAGCAAAAGAATAATATCCCATTTAACTGCAATGCTGTCTCATGACAGGATATATAGCTAAACATTCTCAGAAAGTCACAAGATTTTCATTTTTTAGGTGTTCTTACAGAAGGATGCACTCAACAATAACAGCTTTATCACTGGTTGGAACTAAAGGAACATCTTAAATTTAACATTCAATTTTAAACATAAGAGGACGCATTGTCTACCAGGTTGGAAATGAAAGAGAAAATAATTTCTTTCATTTGAAGACCCAAACCAGCCCTTCCTGGGTGTGGACTGAAGTATTCGAGCCAAGTGTGTAAACGCCTTAAATTGAGCAAGAGTCAGGAAGTTCATTACAGGAGATACAGACAACAGTACAACTCGGTCAGAATATTAGCGTATCATGGCGACATCATGCCACATAATGAGACTTCTGTGTGATAACTTCGGCTGTCTGGACTTGGGGCAGGTGAAGAGAGACCTGAAGAAGAGCTTCACTGTGAACGAAGTGCAGCTGGATCGGCTGCTGTCTGACCACAGCAGCTTTGTGGTGGTGGAGCAGAGTCCGGGGTCAGAAGCGCTGCTGCTGGCCAAAACAGAGCTGCGTGTCTGCACCACACAGGAGAAGTGCAGGGGCTGCGAGCAGCTGCACCTGTGCAGGTTTATGGTGTGTGGCAAGTGCTGGTTCGGGTAAGAAATCAGCCCTTTCTACTATTAATTATCACTTTAGCACAGAGCAGTAGAGCCATATAGAGTTCTATAACCATATAGATTACTATAACCATAAAGTGCTGAACCATAGAGTACTGTAAACATAAGGAATCGGGTAAGAAATCAAGCAAGAAATTAGTCTTTTCTTCTATTAGCTACCCCTTTAGCGCACTGTAATAGATCCATATAGAGTAATGTAACCATATAGAGTATTGTATCCATAGAGTACTATAATCATACAGAGCTGTACGCATACAGTACTATAACCATATAGAGTATTGTAACCATAGGGTACTATAATCATAGACTATTGTAAGAATATAAAGTACTTTAACCATAGAGTGCTATAATCAATGTACAAAAAATGTACATGTTTAGTCATTCTGAGGGCTTTCAAACAGAGAGGGTTTTTACAAATTGATTGCACTTAAAACTTAAAATCAAGCCTGATGCTCTTTTTCTTAAACCCCTTAAATGACCATGGACCCCCTGGCAGGCCCAAAGTTTAAATACACACTTTTATAACATATGAATAGCTCAAACAGTTTGTACTGAAGTCCCTGTAGTTACTGAATAATAAGCCTTTGTATGTAGTGAGCCTGTAATTTTAAAGGGTTAACACTGGCAACATTGAATAGTAACATTACTGTGTTTCTTTTAGACAGTGCAACACTGATACATATATGGATAATTTTGTTCTGCTTTTGCAAAATTGCTGCTATGTTTTCATTTTATTTTATTTGAACATTCTAAGCATTATCTCTGCTATATGATCCCAGGTCTAAGTGCACAAACTCCCATGACTTAAAATCAACACATAATTCTGTGATCTTGAAAAAAAAGAATCTTCATGAACTCCAAGAAGCACAGTTGTTTCAACTTCTGCTGCAGAATGACCCTTTACTTCTTCCAAATGTGAGTTTAACTTGTCTATATAGCTCCTGGGTGAGTTTTAATATTTGTTTTTTTTTCTCCAGAGCTACTTATATTTTGTCTTCTTTACATAGACACACCCAGCACCACTGTAATGGGCTGCTATGAAATCTGTGTCACTATCTCTTGTCATCATATGCTTTTTATAGATTTGTCCTCATTATAATAAAGGCAATGGAGAACATGGCAGTTGTAAGTACGAGACGTCCTGCACCAACCTGCACCTCTGCCAGCACTTTCTGCAGGACGACTGTAAATTTGGAGCTGATTGCAAGCGGGCTCATTCATTTGATGCTGCCGCCATGAAAATCCTGAATGACAGAGGATTCAGCCGAGAAAACATCAGCAACCTTAACAAAATATACAAGAACAAGTTACTCATCTCTTCTTACAAAGAAAAACCAGCTGTTCTGCCTCCTAGAGAAAAAACAGCTGCTCCCAGCACAGGTTAGACCAACTGGAGAGAAGACTGATGGCTTTGTCTTCACTTGGTGTATATTTCCTCTTTTTTACAGCGGCTTCTGAGATCATACACTGATCATCAAAAAAAATAGTTGCCCCGAAGGAATCTACCGACAGGAATGAAACTTGGTGGGTATGTTTGACATTGTGAGACATGCGAATGATTCAAATTTCATGCTCGGCCATGCATGTGATGCAAGGACAGGCCTTATCGCTGTACCTGACTGACTATGTAAGGTCCCATTGCGCGTGCTTTCCATTCTGACTCATGTTGTTGTGTTGGTAGCGTCCTTTGCAAGCGAAGTGTGCCTCAGAGAAGAGTTCGAAAGCAATTCAAACATTTGGAAGAGTTTGAGAGGGTTACATCGTAGTTCTCCGGGAAGCGGGATGGTCTAACTGTGCCATACTGGTTGTGTGGATAATACCATAGCATGCTGTTGGCGGCAGTGGATAGGAGAAGGCACGCACCAGTGACATGAAGGATCTGGGAGATCTACATGAACCACACAGAGGGAGAACCAACAGATTGTCCGTCATGCACGGAGTGACCCAACAGCTACGACTGCAGACATTCAATGAGCAGTGATACCCTCCATGAGTCATCCTGTTAGTGCCAGCACCATTGGCAGATGGCAGCACGACACAGGACAACATGCACACGGACTGTTATGACGACTTAACACCATGTCACTGTCGACAAAGACTGCAATGGTGTCGTGCCACACTGTCATGTGACTCAGTGACTCAGAATGGCAGCGGGTCATCTTCAGTGATGAGTCCCGCTTTTGTCTTGGTGGACACGACCAACGGATTTGTGTGTGGAGGCACCGTGGTCAGCACCAAGATGAACGGTTTGTTGTCTGTCGTCACATGTCCAGAAGGCCTGGTGTCATGGTGTGGGGTGCAATTTCATATGATGCCAGATCCCCTTTGGTCTTCATTACAGGCACTTTGACAGCCCAACCAGTGGCCCTACCTTTTCTGAATGCACACTCCAGTGTGTTATTCCAACAGAACAATGTCGTCCGCATACTGCTGCCGTCTGAAGAGCTTGCCTTGAAGACACAGATACTATGCCATGGCCAGTTGCATTGCCAGACCTATCCCCATTTGAAAATGTGTGAGATGCTATTGGACGTGTTATCAACACTCCACCCTACCCAAAAAATCTGCAGGAACTGCGTGAGAATAGTCAAGCTGCATGGGATGGATTATCGCAGGACACCATCAGGAACCTCTACAACTCCATACCGAGATGTCTGGCATGTTTTATCTTCTTTCCAAATAACATTGCAATCCAACACTTCCTTCTGGGTGCAACTATTTTTTTGACGATGAGTATATGTTTAGTGTCACAGCCCTGGCATCAAATGTAAATATTCACCCCAAAAAACACTCTGCTAATTTACAGTAAACTAGTCTCAGAGGACTGGATCATTATCAATAGATGTGCAGAGTAGGTGACTCAAAGATCAGAGGAAAAAAAACACAGGGTGTTCACCCAGTAAATTCTAAACGTGTTATTTCTTCTCATGTCTAGTAGGCAAACAATGCAGCACTCAGCAGTCCAACATCTCAGTGAGTGAAGCAAACCGCCATGAAATCTGCCTGTTCAATATTCTCCAGGGATGTAGTTTCAAAGGTAACATTACTCAAAAATATAAATAAAACATTCATTAAAACCTCCCCCCACACCCCCAAAAAAGAAAAACAAACAAAATAACAAACAACAACAACAAAAATGCTACACAGAGTTTTCAGGTACAAATTATCCTAGACTTTACAATTTCAGTGTACTTTCAGAACTACTTACTACATATAACTAATTAATATTTATCAGTAGTGTGGGGAAACTAAACGGGACTGATTTTTCTACATTTCTGGATAAATAAATGATTCAGATTTCATTCAGAGTGGTTTGATGTGAAATGCTCTGTTGTAAAGAAACTTACAGAGTTAGAATTGTTCACAGTGGTGGTGAAAGGAACCAGATGTCCCAAGCATTTGATGCTGCTGTGTGATGCAGCTGAGTGATGGAGGCGCTTCACAAGCACAGCTAGTGGCCACACTAGCCCGGCTAGGGTGCTGCTAAAGGCTAGACCAAGTCTAAAGGCTTTCATTACCCCAAGAGCTTTGTGGTTCCTTCAGCGTACCTCTCTAATGTTTGCTCCCTCAGTAACAACCTGGACCAACATTACCTCACACTGTAACTGACTATACAGGAGATGAGTGCTTACTGAAAGAAGCTTGACTCAGCTATTGAGGTAAAGGGCTCCCATTAACGTGTTTTGTACTGTTTGTATGTTTTGTGTTAGCTGGTTTATTTGTGGCACACCAGTGAAATGAATACCTTAGGAAAAAGTATATCACCCACTACTATTGCCTTTCCACGAAATACTGACATTACACATTTTGCCATGAGCGTTTTCACTGTTGCTCGTCAACCAACACAGCCAACGTACTGTTAAGTTGTGATGCACATGCACGTGTGTTTTATGGTATCAGTCATAGGTACCAGTTTCCACATGTCTGACACAATACTGCGTATGGTATTGGCACCAACACAGATACGGTATGAGTGTGAGTGCAAGCATAGTGATTATATAAAATGGTTACGAATACATTACCAGACACCTGAAATACTGTTTTGATAAAGTTTTGTCCTAAAATATATTTTTAAATACATTAATGGCAGAGTGGTACATGCAGGGCAGTGTACAGCAAAACGGTACCAAAAGAAAACGTATAAAAACTCAGAAGACATGTGGTTTACTTATGGTCTTAGATTGCAAATAAAATGACAATATTTGCGTCAACATCATGACCCCTGGTTCCTATCACTGATACTGTAAAGAAATCTGGGCTAATAAGTTGGTCTGCAATGAACCTTCATCAAACCACTCTGAACAACTTTGTTCACTTCTCAGTGATTGAATTATACAGAAATTTTGAAAAATCAGTGAAATTCTCTTTAGTGTTCGTTGATGGTACATGAATGTTTCAATAGCCTCACTACTCAAAGGCTACTTGATTAGAAAAATATTTGATGCTACCACTATGCTACTGGTAAATGTTAACTTAATAGCTTCGCTAGTTGCAGTGACACCATCACTGTCCAGACCTAAGATAACAATACATTCAGAAAACCATTTATGTTTTATATGACCATCTCCTCATCTCTTCATTAGAGAAATGTGTCCGTGTTCATCATGATCTTCCTTATAAATGGGAGATTTTAGACCGGAATGGAGTAACATGGAAACAGTTGCCCAATGAAGAGCATATTGAGAGGGCCTACTGTAACCCAGCAAATGACATGAGGTATTTCCTATATCAATGTTATTTGTTTAGTTAAAGTCAATTCATTATTACGTGCCTGTATGGTGGCAATAAAGCTGTCATTTTGTTAGTATGGGCTGTTGGTTTTGTGGGTTTTGTTCCTTATGTTGCAACAAACCGATTAAACTGCTTACTGTACAAACGTAAAATGATTACAGCTCTGGGCCTCAGACGGTGAACTTCATCACAATGAAATGCGAAGGGTCATCAGTTCGTCGACTTTCTACAGCATCCTCTGTCACCAAACCTCCTTACTTCATCCTGACCACTGAATGGCTCTGGTATTGGAAGAATGACCAAAAAAAGTGGACTGAATTTGGACGTGGGGTCAGTAAGGATTTATTATTTCCATTTCTATTGGTAGTATAACTAGTATTCATTGTTACCTTATGAATTAGGGTTATGTCATTAAATGTTTGAAATATTTTAGGACAATGCGAAGCATGTTTCCTCAATTACATCAAAAGACTTGGAGGATATGTACCTTAAAAAAGTTCAGACTGAGATTCGATTCAGCGTGGCAAATGATAACTATGTGCTCAACCTGAAAGGTAATTTCTCAATGCTTTTTTCAGGCCCTTTAAAGACATGTTTTACTTCAACAAAGTGTGTCTGAGAGCTTATTTATGTAAACCTTTCCATTTTTAGAGATGTATCAGCACAGCTTAAGGTACAGCACACAGAGAGAGGTTCGAAGGAGACCCGTTTATGTTTCGTATCAAGATGTTAAGAGCAAATTGAAAAGGTAGTGCTTTTCAGAGTTTTGTGAATAGCATTATATCTGAATTGATGTAAGGTTAAAGAAAGTGTAAGAAGCTGAAACAAATCGTCGCTGTCCAAAAAAAAACATATATCTCCAAAATGGTAACTTTTAATGTAAATTAATGTAAAGAGAGTTTATTCCAAGTTATTTGGGAGCATTTCTATTGGCCTATTTGTCATGAAATTAGCATACAATGTAAAAGACATGTGCCAAATTTCAAATTATGTAGAAAAATAAAAATGGACAAAAATGGAGATACATTTTTTTCTTTGGAAAGCAACAAAATGAAAACAGTTTAAGAAGGTTTGAATTATTGAAAATTTGATTACTGTGATTAAATATATAATCATGAAGCTAATAATGAAGAATGCTTGGTGTTTACCACTGGCAGCTCCAGCTCTTCATCTGTGGAAGTCCCTGATCACTGGAATAAAGAAGCCCTGCCTGAATTCTCCCACAAGGTACATTTTAAACTCATACAAACATGTAAAACAAACATGTTTTGCCAAACTGCTCCCACCATTGTCATTGATAATTTTAACCGAAAAATTACTGTAATATACTGTATTAAACAGTGAAGGTAGTTTAACAGAAAGTATCCCTTCAGATTGTTCCAGTGTCAAAGTCTGCAGATGACTACAAAAAAATAGAGTCACTGTTTAAACAGACAATGCCCAGCAACACAATTCACAACATCAGGAGGGTGCAGAATCCTTCTCTGTGGAGGGTCTTTCAGTGGTAAGTGCATATCTAAACCCTTTCTCTGCTCCCTCTGATGGGGAGGACAGCTAATGTCAACTTAAAAGATGTTTAATAGAGAAAATGTTTAATAGAGAACTTGCAGGAATATTTTCATAATTCACAGAGAAAATAGCCAGATTTACTAAAAGAGGCGCTAATTTACACTGCTGACACTTTGCATCGGTGAAGGTGGCTAATTTAGCAGCTTATCTAAGTAAGGTGCTTCATAAGTTGTCTTGAGGACCTTCCTCATATCTCAGGCAGTGATATAGACTGAGTTATAAAACAACAGACACACAACACACACCTGGAAGAATAAAGGTTATAGGCTGTCTGACTTTAGCATAGTCAGCTAACTTAGCAAGCCTAGTGTTAACTTGGCTAACCTGACTGGAAATTGTTGGCTTGTTTTAATATTTATATATATTTAATATATTAATGTTTTTATCTGTACATGTAGTTTCAAATATTGTGAATAAGTGGGTGATAGTGAGCGGCAGATCGTACAGATTAAGAATAAAGAACCTCACAAAGTACAGGTTTGACACAGTTACGGCTAGGAATGAAAAGAGAGCTGCGGTTGCAACATTATTGTACTGAGTTGGATATTTAAAGATATGAACTACTAACACTGACCAACAAATGAGTTTAAATCTGCTGTGGGAGGGCTTTGTTAGGTCCAGTTGCTTTTGCAATGTCAGTAAGACTGTTAGAGTTGGAACTTCTGATTAAGTTAAACCACATCGTTTAAGGGGGAAATGAACATTTGAATGAGAATCCTCAGTGACATTCTCCTCCTTATCCTGGCTTTTGACATCTGTTCCGAGCCATAAGGATGCTCCTGAATAAACAGATTCTCAAATCTTGGGCTCTTGAAAGTGATTTCAAAGGAAATGGCAGGGCACAGCACCACCTCTGAGCATTAAGACAGGAGGCTGTCAGGACCTGGACAGGCAATGATGGATACTCCTGTTAGGACATGCAGAGCCACTGTGGGTTAGCCCAGTGATTCCCCATCCTGGTCCTGGAGGAAAGCTGCCCGACAAGAAGGGTCTACCTGCAGAGCCACAGTACCACACTCTCAAACCCAGGCTGTCAGACCCATTCTCTCATCTCCAGACATGATGTTACACAGTGGTCATGTGGCTAAGTAGCTATCGCGCCTTGTATTTTGTTATGTGGAGGGTACAGAAGGTAGTGCGCAATGTTTTAAGAAAACCTTAAATACTACGGCTGAATCTCAAATGGCTCCCTGCCCCCTACATAGTGCACTGCAGAGGTTAGGACACCAATACTGCTCCTAATGTTGGATAGGGCGTTGTGCAGTTATTAGCTAAATGTAAATGGCTTTTTATTCAGCATAAAGTGCACTAATTGGGTTTAGAAGCCATTATTTTCTGACCTACATATAGGGGCATATTTAGTGATTCTTGGGCTCTAGGCAGAAGACAGGTATGCGGCCCCCTGAATGCATATTTCAAAATAGTGACGCAGTTGTCTACACTGCAAAAACGGCAGGTGGAATCGTCTTAAATCTAGTCAGTACATCTAATTTCACATTCTTGTCTTTCTACGTTGGCACATAATTTTGCTTGTATTAAAGGATATGCTTGAAGCACGACCCAGAAGGATAAGTGGCTTAGAAAATGTGTGTGTGTGTGTATGTGTCCCTCTGTACTTCACATACTGTACTTTACAAACAGTGCACAGTCAGTTTTTACGGCCAGCCTTATGAAAATCAAAATAAGTGCTTCATAATAATAATCTCATCCTAGTATTTTGCACTTTAAGAGGCGAAACTCCTATAAATGCATATGCAAAGAGGGAAAAGTGCAAAAGTGCAGTGACCACCACTTTCATCTTATTGTAGATGCTAAAAAACGGTTGCCCCTTGTTAGTAAATCACATCAGTCATTTTTTAATGCCAAAACAGGGTTTGCTAAAGCACCAAACATTAGTACATCTGCCCCAAAGTATTAGTTTGCTGCTTTTAAGTACATTTGTTGACAATGTTCCCTATTTTTCCAGGCAGAAGGAGCAGATGAGGGATGGGAGTGGCAGGAGAGATGTGGATGAGCGTTATCTGTTCCATGGCACAGATCAGTCTCTAATAGAAACCATCTCTAAAGAGAACTTTGACTGGAGGATCTGTGGTCTTCATGGAAGATCTTATGGGAAAGGTAGGGGGCTGTTTTAATACTTAATGTTGATTAAATATAACCGCAAACTCAGCTCTAACATTTTACACTGTCTCCTCCACAATACTGTAATGTTTTTGCTCTTCTACACAGGAAGTTACTTTGCAAGAGATGCCAAATATTCTAACACTTACGCAAAATCCAAGAACGGCATTAAGATGATGTTTGCTGCACTCGTGCTTGTGGGAGAATTTACCAAAGGGAACAGCAGCTACCTCCGACCCCCACAGAAGAAAGACAAACAAAGCTTTTATGATAGCTGTGTGGACAAAGAAGCCAACCCTACCATCTTTGTCATCTTTGAGAAGTATCAGATCTATCCTGAGTACATCATTGAGTACTCTTAGGATCCAGCAGCGTGCATTATGTGCTGTTACAGGGACAGTAGAACAATGTATCTTAACCTCAATTATAATACTGATTTACATACAAATGCAACATTTTATTTAGTAGAGAGTTACAAAAAAGTTGTTTTTTTTTCTCCTGGAATATGTAAGCTAAAGGCAGTAACTGTTACACTATAATGATTTTAAATCAGAATACTGACTATAACTAGGTAAAGAACTGTCTTTAATAGTTATGCATTTTGGTTTGAGGGTGTGTTTCTATGTGATTTTGCATGTCATTTATAAATCAATCACTTTTCCCACCATATATATTTTGAACACAATAAATCTCACTAAACAGCTGTAAAGTGTCCATCCTTTTATAGTAACATGACCAAGGCTTACTCAGGCTTAAACAGTTTAATATTTAAGCGTACAATTTCGACTGCACTACTTATAACTATTAGAAATTACAAATGTCTGTCAGCCAGTTGAGCTGTGCATTTAGAGGTAACAACTCCCCCTGTAGTATCAGATAACTCCTCTCATAATTCAGCTTTGAAAAATGCTCAAAATTGAAGGGACACTTTGGAGCCTCTTGTAGGGAAAGTAGCACTGTGATGCAAAAAAATAACAGAGAAAGAAAGATTCTTTTAGCTTAATTTCACTGTGACACAAATGTAGCTTGTAAACACATTTACAATAAGGGTGTTGAAATATGTGCCTGACTTTCCAAAATTCTTTAAGCTTACTTATAGTTTCAGCGCATATACACAAACCAAAAAAGGAGATAAACTTATGACAATGAAAATAACAGGAATGGGCACAGTTATCTGAACACAGATATCCAAACTAATCTTCTGTTTTAATGTTTCCTTCCTATCTAAGCATGAAAACTGTTTTTGATATTTAGGCATTTTTTAGGCTTTTCAATCCCTTTTTTAGTTCAATTTCAAAATTTTCTAAAATAAGTGGATGGAAAGCTTACTAATGATGGGGAAAGCAGGGAATCCACAAAAATAACAAAGGGAAAATCAGACTAAAGACTTAAAGCACTAATAAACACTAAGAACAATAACCAGGGCAACAGGGCTACAAAGGCACAAATGTCATGCAAGGAGCAAGATAAAAATAAGGTGTGTAATCTGGAGAAAACAAGCAGGAAACACCGGGAACAGTTACAGAGTGGGACTACAGGATTTTTTTCAGGTGAGGGGCACGATAAAAAAGCAGATGTTACAGATGGCCCCTCTTCTAACGCACTGCTCCTGATGCATGAAACAGAATTCACCAAGGGAGCCAGCCTACAGGAGAGGCCAGGAACAGGGCTATTGAACTGGACAGGGAAACAGACAGAAGATTGGAGACCAGACAGGGAAGCAGATAGGAGATGGGACAGGATAGGAGATGCAGGTGCAGGTGAATGGACACAGGACACGGAAAGGGAACTGAACAGGATGAGACACTGTGACAGAAACTGGGACAAACAGGAGACTGGACATGGTTAACAGAAAACTGGACAGGGACAGAACTGCCATAGGACTGGGTAGGAGACTGGACCAATGTGTTTATATGCACTAAATGTAACATAAAATTCAAGCATCATGCCACAGCTTTTTTTAAACATTGATTATAAACTATAAACCCAAAGATAGATTTATTTGAATATTTCAGTTATTTTGAACACAACAAGAACTTATTAAATTATACTAAATAACTTATGTCACTGTTGTGCTATCTCTCTTAAGAACTTTTGATATAAAAGACTTTCTGGATATTCAGAGTATATTTCTGGATATTTGAGAATTTCTGACATCATTCTCAAACTATACAGCTTTCTCAGTTTTTTAGAATCATCATTCTAAACTACCAAAGACTGTATTCCTTTTTATTAATTAATTTGTTATTACATTTGCATTGTACTAAATTTCTGAAACCTGTGATGTTACACAGGGCTAGCATATAATCACCTTGCATGTTTATCTGCAGTCAGATATCAGGTATTACACTATTGAAAACTCTGATTCCAAACTTTTGCCCGGCAGTGTGTTTTATAAGAAATGGATTGAAACTACTGCCACTAGTTTACAGCAACACTGCATTGTTCACTTTAAGTGGGGCTTATAATGAAAAACAGTGCCACCAAGCGTCCGGCGTAAACTGCCATTTACACTTTCAGTTTCTCGAAATCGAGAATAAACTCTGCGAGAGTCAGGAAGTTCATCACAGAAGATAACACAGACAGCAGCACGACAACTCGGATATGTAAAATGGCGAAGGCCGTGTCTAACCACATTATGAAGCTCTTGTGTGATAACTTCGGCTGTCTGGACCTGGGTCAGGTGGACACTGTGCTGAAGAAGAGCTACACTGTAGACGCCTCGCTGCTGAAAGGGCTGCTGTCTGACCGCAGCAGCTTCGTGGTGGTAGAGCAGAGTCCGGGGTCAGGAGCGCTGCTGCTGGCCAAAACAGAGCTGCGCGTCTGCACCAAACAGGGCGAGTGCGGGGGCTGCGAGCAGCTGCACTTGTGCAGATACCTGGTGTGCGGCAAGTGCAGGTTCGGGTAAGAAATCAGTCCTTTCTGCTCCAGTTCATTCTGTTTCTATGATGGCAGGATTGCTCAAGTTAAAATAAAACTAAAAATGGAAACTATTTTGCTAAAAATGTGGTTTGACTAATATTGTAGATAGATAGATAGATAGATAGATAGATAGATAGATAGATAATACTAAGGCATTTTAGACATAACTGTGCATGTAATGACATGTTGACAGCAGCCACCTGTAATTAGTCTGTGTAAAAAAAAGTCCGCTGTCCTGAATTTAGTGATAAACGAATCGTTCTTTTGAATCGGTTGTTTTCAAACGACTCACAAGTTCAGCTGTAGGTCAGCAACGTTTGTCTCTGCGCTGAACGACTCAAATAAAATTTGAATAACAATCTTTAACATCTTAAAATGCATCAAATTCCACAGTGTAAGAGCAATCTTTGAACTTCCTTACATAAATATTACATCTACCGCCTGGGTAGACTAGATGACTCCCTCTTTCTGGTATGTTGTTATGTTTTTCGTATTTTGCACATTCCGAGCTTGACTAAAAAATAAAAGTCTCGTAATCAGACTCACTCGCCAAGCATAGTTTCGTTTTACTGGGAAGAAAGGAGAATAAAGATGAAACGTACAGATCCAGTGAATCGAGCTTCACATCATCAGCTGGATTTCCATCAGCTGACTGCTACGAGTTTCCGCCTTGGCGTTGTTTGTGAGAGTCATTCTGCGCAGTCACTGCGATTAGCGTTTGGTTTTAACTAAGACGAAAAAACGTTCCAACTTAATTCAGTTTCTGCTGTCACAACTGAATTATCAACAAAGATACTACAGATGGTGCGGAGCGCTGTCCTGTCTTTAATTCTGAGGCAACGGTGATCGCAAACCGAGACATGATGAACGTTGCTGTTACTAACATTCACATTAAAAGTTATGTGATCTAAAATGTAACCTGCATGCACAGTTGAATATTATTAGTAATGAATTAGTAATGGCACGTTAATACCAGAAGATCAATGTATGTGTATCTGTGTTCATGTACTTTGGGAATGCAAAACATATACGTAGTAATTGAACACAGCTGTTGACAAACAAATCCAATTCCAAAAAAGTTGGGACAGTGTGTGAAGTGCCAATAAAAACAGAAAACAGTGATTAGTACATTTATGTTTGACCTGTATTAGATTAAACAGCACACAATATTTAGTGTTTCAGCTTGTAGTTTGTAGCTTGTAGTTTGTTTTTCTGTAATACATTGAGATACATTGTAGTGTCAACAACACCCCACCCCACCCCCCCCAAGGGGCACCCTTCCCAGTGTTCCACAGAGTCCCTGCCTGCATAAGTGCTGCTTCTCACGCCTCTCCTGAGGCTTTGTCCTTGGCACAGCAGCTCCTCAGCATACTCTACTCCGGGTGCACCGTCCTCCCACGCAGGCGGGCAGCTGAACACCAGCTTGTATGCACTTTCAACTGGCGTGGCAGCTGCATGTTCGGCTCCACCAGTATTGACGGCTTCACCTGCGAAGTTTGCCTGGGCAACCACTTGCATCTGTCTTCTCCAGCCAGCCAGCTTACTCTTGGCTGGCTAGACGTGTCAGGGAGGCAGGTGCAGTGTCCTTCCTCCGGTCTATGGCCTCTTTGCCATCTGCCTTTGAGTTCATTAATGTGCCACCCGACTTCTTCCAGCTCAGCGACCACATCCCATTTCGACACCTATGCATATAACGCATATAGGTGAATAGTCCTTATTTTGAACAGGCACTTGAACAGACAGAGAAATGCCCAGTGCTGTGCTACCCCAACACGAAACACAAGGAGGGGGTAATGCAGGAGGACATGACATCCGAGGAGGGTGGACACTTCCAATACACTGTAACCCATCCTCCTCAGTTACAATTAACCTATTAACTACAAATGAAACCACTCAGTGACAACAACAGCAGTCACAAAAACTGACCTTTTTAACCAGATGTATGGTCATGCTCCAACGCCACAATATGCTTATTCCAGATATAATGCCTGCAACATGTTCCAAAAAAGTTGGGAAAGGAGCATGCTGTAGCCTAATAATAAACAGTTTTAATAATAATAATAAGTTGGGGACTGAAGGCACTAATTAATCTAATTTGATTGGACTAATTGGATTTTTCTCGCCATTATTCAGTTGTACAAGTATTCACCTGTGAGGCTTTTGTTGTCATATTTTGCAATTCATAAAGCTCCACACATTTTCAATAGGAGTCGGGCAGGCCAATCCAGTGCCTGTACTCTCTGAATTTGCAGCCATGCTGTTGAACATGCAGAATGTTTCTTGACATTGTCAGTTCAAATAGGCATGGATGTCTGAAAAAGACAGTGTCTAAAAGGCAGCATATGTTGCTCCACAAGCCATATATATCTTTCAGCGTTGGTGATTTCACAAATGTTCAAGTTACCCATGCAATGGATCCTAATACCCTAATACACCCCCACACCATAATACACCATAACAAACACTGGCTAGTGAGCTTTACACTGGTAACAATATGCATGATTCTTTACTTCTTTGTCCCAGAAAACAGGACAAATATTTT